AAAGAAATGTAGCCAGTTTCTTGGCTAAAAGCCAAAATATCCTTGGGCTTGTTAGCAACATACTCTGTTCCAAAGGCCAAAAACGTCAAAAGTATTTGGGAGCTTGTATCTAATCCTTAAAAGATTTTAGGGTTACCTCTTCAGAGGGGGGAATGTTGGAGGGGAGGGAGTGGGCATGGATTTGATCAAAACACCTTATATGCATGTATGAAATTCTCAATAAATTGTTTATTTAAAAAAAAGAAAAGAAATTAAAATCAGGTGGCATTTAATTATGCACATAATGAATTGCTACCATTGACAACAATAAAATCTTATGAAACATATGAAAGTCAATTAGTATAAAACGTGTAAGTCTTTGAATGGAAACTGGTCCAAGAAATATGAGTCTGACTCATGACCTCATACCTGTACTCCATTTTGATCCTCAGAGGCAAAAGAAACAGAGAAAGAGTCATGTGCCCCAAACCTAAAGGTGCTTTGCTAAGAATTGTGGGAGAAGGGGTTTTAGGTGGACTCTGGGAAGAATGTTCCAGATTCTGAGTCTTTAGAACATAAAGGAAGCTCAGAAATCTGATAGTTCCTCTGTTTCCTCATTATACAGGTGAAGATAGAGGGCCAGAGTGTCTGGAAATTGTCAGGAGCCACGGGTAACTAATAGAAACAACAGCCATAACAATAAGATGCCAGTATCCTGTGAAATGCCTCACATAGCTCCATCATGCATTCATTAGACAAGTATTTGGAGAGGGTCTGTGGCATGCCTAGCCTAGCTCTGGCAATAGCTTGAAAATCAATGTGGCTTACAGAATGGTCAAAACTAAGCCAAAATCCTTCCCTAAACTTTAGGGATTTGTACGCCAGCAGATTGCCACACAGCCATCATAGCAGGAGCAAAATCTGATAGAGGGAATAGATTTCCAAAACCTAACAATATTGGCAAGGTTTGGGAAGTACCAGATTGAGCAGTTTGCCTCAACCTGGACACTCAAATGAATTAAAAAAAAAAAATGAGACCACCCTAGTTCCCACTCTAGTCCTAGTATCTTCCTCAAGAATGATCCTTTTGTGATAAACCCCCAGTCCCCCCACCCATAGAGATGAGGTTCTACTAGACTGAGCCTGTGTTCCCCATGTGCATATCAATTCTGTACCTGAGTAAAACTGTCTTAGCTTTTATTTTATTTACGTGAGGTCCCAGGAGCCTGAGAGACTGAGACTCCTGCCCTGTGGTACCAGCACTGACCAAACTCAGCAAGCCATGGAGCAGTTCTAACACTAGATAGTGAGGGGGTAACAGGGGTAAGCAAGGCAGGATGGGATCAGAAGGCTGAAGATGCAGTGACAATTAGAGACGTGACTGCAGATGGCCACTAAGGTGAAATCTAAGCAAAGACTTTTTCTGCCCCACTTACATGTGAGGATGTAAGAACTGCTTGCTCCAGCTTAGGGTATTTGGAGGAAATCTAACCCAGAGGTAGAAGTTTAGGGACAGAACTTGTAGAAGGCTCAGGTAGAGAGCTGAGGAACCTCTAATTTGAGGATACTACTTCTTTGGCTCTTCAAGACAGCAGAACTAAGCTTCAGTCCACACTCCCTTTTGGTTCATGTACCAATCATCCAAGCCCAGGCACAGGCTGGTATTGTGCCCTTATTGCTTCTCTTTCCCTCTCCTAGGGAGGCCGCCTCTGGGTACCAGGCTGTCACTGAGCCTTGGCGTCCAGAGGTCTAGGTCCCCCCACCCTCTGGAAAGAGTTCAGACACGGGGTTCTGGGAGAGTTTGGGGTGACAACTGAAGGCAAAAGCAACTTGGAGGTCAGCAACTGCATGGTTGATGATGGTACATCAGACCTAAGAATGCAATCGGCTCTGAAGGAAGGCCAGCAAGCCATAAGTAGGCCTATCCTGGAGTCCTTGCTAATCAAGCCACTGGCCTATGTAAAGTCCCCAGCAGAGTGGATACAGTGAGCACTGAATGCTGAGCCCCAGGCCCTTGGGGAGCTGCTGGGGTAGGTAGGGAGTATGGGAATGGCAGACCACTCATGGTTTTCTAGTTCCTCCTCTTCCTCTCTCCTAGGTAGGACCCCTCTGGATACCAGGGAACCACAAGACTGCCATTGAGTGAGAACACAGTGCTGTGCTGGATCAGGGGCATGCTGAGGCATGAAAGTCTTGTTAATACTTTTCCTTTTTTTCCAGAGGGCTGCCTGCACAAGACCTGGACCCTTTCTCAAGCAGAGTCATCTCTGCAAGCTGCCACCCTAGAGGTTTTCAAGGAAAGAAACATCTAGGCCAACCAAAAAGGGAGGCCTCATCGTAGAGGGAAGCACCCTGTTTGCACAGAGTGGACCCCAACCCAAAGGAACTGCCAGCCTCACCAATACCCACCGGACTTCCTTTCTTCTTAAAGCATCGTTTCACTGTGAGTCTCATTAGCCTGCTTGGCCAGCTGATTCTGTGTTAGGGCTGAAAAGCACAGCTCAGCATCAGCACCTGGTGCCTGTCTGACTATTGCCCTGGCATGGCTGTTGCCACCAAATATATTCTAAGATTTAAGGATTTTTTTCTTTCTCTCTTTCCTTCTTTCTTTCTTTTTTTCTTCCCTTCCTTTCCTTTCCTTTCCTTTCCTTTCCTTTCCTTTCCTTTCATTTCCTTCCATCCCTCCCTCCCTCCCGTCCTCCCTTCCTTCCTTTCCTTCAACAGGGTCTCATGTAGTCCAGAATGGCTTCAAACTAAATACATAGCTGAGTATGACCTTGAACTCCAGGTCTTTCTGCCTCCACCTCCTGAGTACCAGAATTACACTCCTAGCTTTATGTGGTACTAGGGATTCAATCCAGGGCCTCATGTATGGTAGGCGGACACCTTACCAACTGAGCTATATCCTCAGCCCCAAGATTTTTAAAAGATTAATACTACATCAAGAATAAACATAAGCCAGGTATAGTGACATATGCCTATAATATCAGGACAAAGGAGGCAAGTTGGAGGAATCAGGAAGATTTCAAGTTGGAAAACAGCCTGGGTTACATAGTGAATTTCAGGCCAGGCTGGGCCACAGACTAAGAAAGACTGTCTCAAATAAAAACGAAAACAACAA